ACCACAAAATAGTATGAAAAACGAGAAGGCTTTGAATATTGTAAGTATTAATTACAGACGGGTCCTCGCTAGTTTAGACAGATAGTACTAGTTGGAGCGGATTCAAAACGCCTACACCTCACACCAATATTGGCGGTCATCGACAGCGACACTAGTTCCGCGCCAGCGTAAGATAGTAATGATGAATGACGCAAGTTTCAAGATTTTATTTATCAACCATGTACGTACAATTCAAACGTTTCTCTACAACGGCAAATAATCACTTCAAATAATAATAATAATAATAATAATAATAATAATAATAATAATAATAATAATAATAAAGCGCGCGAAGTGGCAAAGTAACTCAGTGCGTAGTCGCTCGACCTCGCAGTCGAGAGACATAGGTTCGATCGCCGGGCCGACTATCCCGACCTAGGATTTCGTGGTTTCTCTTGGTCATAGAGGAGAATAGGATGGTTCAAAAATCTCTCGATCACCTCTCACCTCTCATCATCATTCTATCATTTCAGAACTCAAAGCTTGAGGAGCTTGTCTTACCAAGTGATACAACAGAAAAGCTGATTCTCTTAACTACACACGTCTCTCTCCAGGATAAAATATGTTTGGGCCTCAAAAGAGAATGTGTAGCGTGGTCTGAAATGACCGATCCGCTAATAATAATAATAATAATAATAATAATAATAATAATAATAATAATAATAATAATAATAATGATATTAATAATAATAATGACAATGATAAACCCTGTATTCAATGAAATACAGTGATTATTTGAGGGATCTAATATCAATCTCCAATTTTGGTGAAAGGTAAACTGAAGGTGTATACTGTAAAACAAGTAGATACTGATCTAAGAGAGTAGATGTTGCAAAAGCGACTTCTCCAATCGACAATCTTCAAACAGCATTTTACTTCAAAATGTAATTTTTTCATATATTCTGTTATAACTCAAATTCCAACAGAAATATATTTTGGCATATTTTAAATTCTTAATCAGCATCCAAAAACAAAGGTGCAAAAAATCAAAACTACACCATAATTTGGTTTAGGCGAACTAGATAATGACCGAACTACTTCGGAAATACTAAAACCGAAATCAGAAAACGAAGTAATTGCAAGACCAAAAGAGTATTGGGACATTATTGGTGAGCTTCTTCATTTATAAAATGGAAGGAATAGTGTTCAGTTTTTGTTTGTAACAGTATCGTTAAAGGAACTGGATCATGGTGTTTCAAATTCAACAAACTCAAGCAATTTTTTCTAACCAAAATGAAAACAAGTAAGGTTTTGGTAAAAAGTGAACCACACTATGAAGTAAATGTAGATAATTTTCCTCTGTGAATAAAAAAAGCAGTAGTCATTGTGCGTCAAGTAATTCAGAAAGGACATTTTGTTAAATTAAATTACATAAATGAATATTCTATTCATGCGGGTGTGTTTTTATATGCCCAATGAGACGCATTTGAGTAGTTTATTACAAGTATAAATTATTCATTATTTTTGAGAAGAAAAAATGCATAATTTAGAGTAATTAATTAATATAATTATCTTGATCATAACATATAATAGTTTTAAATGATGGTATAATAGTAAACATGACTCTCTCCAGCCCTTTTTATGCTTTCAGATATTGTAGAAAAAATGTTTTAAGGTTTAATAACTCTTGTTCTGCCTTTCCGTATATTTTGAAGGATATTAAGAACATTATTAAAGGAGACAGTTGCACTTCGCAAAATAATAGTAATACATCGCAATTAATATTTAAAATTAGGAGATTGTCAAGTTTTCTGGAAAATACGAATATTCCCATCTTTGCTGTAAAAACGGAAATCTATATTTTTTTCTTTCACTATTTATTTCATTTCTTTTATTATTCAGACGTCCTAACGCACTGGTAATTGTTCGTCAAGATTTCTTACATTACTAAATCATCTAATTCTTAATTTTTGCGACATTATTCGTTATTTGACGCATAAGATTTTGTTTCTTCTTCCATAGAAAATATATTACAGTTCACATATTTTGTAGAAACCTACATTTGTACGTAACGTATCGTGAAATAAAAAGAAATAAAAAAACAGCGTCCGAAAGGTTGTGCATACGTGTGAGCCACTAAGACCAGCTCTAGAGTGTGAAACTCATCATCTCGTTGAAAGTACGATAACGTTACCTAGAATACGTGATCTCATTATTTAAATGATACTCATTATTTAAACGTTTACTCCCCAAAATGACTGGAAACTATAGTAATCTATGGCTGTAAACTATAATAATCACATCAGTTTCAGCTGATATGCCTCAGGGACAAAAACCGTTACCAGATAAACGTATATTATCGGGAGGTGCTAGGGTTCGAGTACCGACGGGAGCAGCTTTTCGACAATATCTATACAGCTAGGTCGAATTTAGCCACTGCCTGGAGGACCATTCCAGTGACCGTCTACCCTGATGGATAGTTTTTACGTGGTTTCTTCGACCTTTTCATCTTTCCTACCTCATCTTTGTCCCTTCCTCTCCCCTTACCTACATACACTGACATGCACTGATCTGCCACACATGTGGGATCTTTGAGCTTAGCCTGCTGGAGCAACGCTTGCCTTGAGCCCGCAACCTGACGTGTAGGTCGGCGCCAAATCTGATGTTCTATCGAGGGAGGATTGCGCTTTTTTCCAGCTACATCATGAACTAATCTATCGAGACTAATGACCAAAATAGTTGTCGCGACCGGTAATAAAATACTCACTCACTCCACAGCAGTAAATGTTGAGAGGTGAAGATTTAATCGGATAGGTGGAGGTTTCTCACCGATCTATCTGCAAGTGACATGAAGGTATATCGAATACAAAATATGCTTAAGATGACGATAATGTAACTGACGAATTTTCTACGTTAAAATGCTATGTTTGCTACTGATAGAATATAATGCATTGATCGAAACGTTACTTTCAGAATCATTAGATAGAAAAATCTATTTAGTTAAATTATTAATTTTTTTAAACAAACCCTATTGGTCTTAGTTATTTCAGTCGAGTCAGGTTGCAACTACCTCAGTTCCTCGAGTTAGATAATGTCTTTATGAAACGTGTAAAATACCAACAAAAATGCGGTGTTATCCTCAGATACTCTTGGGGAGTAGAAATAATCTTCGAAAGAAAAAATCCAACTCTTGTACAATTTTAAACAAATTGTCTGCTTGGGCAATCAAAGAGGTACTTCTTCTTGTACTTCTGTTATTTCCCTCTGAACTTCTACATTTTTTTATTTTAAAACTACAGATATGTTGCGCAACACGGAAGTGAAGTTTATCGCATCCTTTTAGAAATACCATTTTGTCACTAAGAACATTCTGGTCTGTCAAACATCTACAATACGAAATGGAAGAGTTCTAAAACCTGACATTCTGAATAAGAATTGTTCGCACAAGCACATCACATATCTGATTGAGAAGGTGACCTCTACATTCCCCTAAAGAATACCGTTAGTTCTCAATAAAGCTGCAAAAATTATCGGGCCCTTTCTGTTCTTTACTGTGAGTACAAATTAGTCATGTATTATAAAACAATTTAGATTGCATTATATAACAACAATACAATGCAATAAATGGCAAAATGTGTTTCTTCAACAGAATTTTTGATAAGAGTTTCAAAATAATTCTTGCGAAATGAATATTCACATTATTTTACTTCTGAATAAGTATTATTTCTTTATTTGCAGCCTTACTTCATTTGCAAAATTTTGAAAGCCTATTATTTTAATTGAACTATCGAAAAGAGAACCTGTTTAACTTGAACGTTGAACATTTCGTCCGTCTGAAAATTTGTTTGTGACGTAGTTGGCCAAACGTGTGGTTTAGTTTGCATTGAATTTGACATAAATGTTCCTCGAAGCCATTTAAGTGATACAGACGGTCGCTGTTTTAATGGTTTCGTTTTACTTGTTTCATGTTTTTTCAAAGATTCTAGACAAGCGGATCTCTTTCATTGGACAACGGATCTCTTTTCATTCTTTCTTTCGTCTGTTTACCAGTAATTTTGTTTCATACGTAGTCAAGAGCAACGACTTGCTTTACTTATTGGCTACAATTAAATACTTCATTCATGATACACAATAGTTGTTTTTTTTAACGCGAGCTCAACTGCTTACTGAACAACTGGTATATAAAAAAGAATTTGCGTAAAATAAAAGTTGTAATCATTGCACTGTTGTATTTGATCTAGAACTCTACACTAACACTTTTGACAAGGCGAGAAAAAATAGGTGTCGCAATCCAAATACGACACCACATCTTGTTACGTCTCACAATGTTGCTAGAAATTACGCAACTTGCTGTATATGTGGGGGACACACGGGGTGATATCATCGATGTATTTGTTATTCACTCGTAAAGACCAGTCCATAATTGGTGTTTTAATTGTACATTTCTTTATTTTATTCACATTCAATGGACAAAAAACAAGGCATCTGAAAATGGCTACAATACATAACCAAAGCTGTGTAATGTTACTCGTAATTATAGTGATGTAAAATATTTGTTATTTTTTCCTAATAGGTTTGAATTTTCTGTTGATCTATTGCTATCTGTCTAAACTCATTTTTATTGCAATACTTAGAATATCAATATCTGTTATTACATTAAATGCCTTTGTTTATTTAGTTTTATTTAGTATTATTTTTGTAGATATGCTATTAGAACGCATCATAAAAAAGATCTCACAATGTACTCACGGATGGTTGTAACGCCTAAACAAATATTTTCAATAAGGGGAGAGACTCAAGAGAACCGAGAGCAAAGAAATTGTTTACAATCTCGAAGAGTTGTGTGTCATCAGTATATTGAAGATAAAATATGCACACTATCTTTTGGCTGATGTAAGCAACTAAAAACGAAGGGTGTGTGGTTAACGGAAAACCTAACACTCTGGAAGGTATTGGGTATTGTTGACCTCAACTCAAGTTCATAGAGACGTAACAATAGGGTCAGATATGCAGGCTCTCACCGTTACCGATGGCATACTGCTGCAGGAGATCCGTCATGTTGATGTGCGTGATGCCTCGCTTCTCCTGCATCAGGTTGTCGCAATGCGTCACCTTCCCGCTGCCAGGACCTCCTGCGAGCCAAGAATATCTAGGTTACTAAAGAGAACGTCTCCGTAGCGTTGTTCAGAAAACCAAACAAGGCCTCCGTATCAATCTTGAAGGTGATTGCTTCAGAAATGAAGTAAAAAAATAAATAACTTAACATACTCATAGTAGCACCCCTTAACTACGAAGACTCGTAGCTACCAGACCCTCGTCCGAAATCGGAAAAGAAATCCGAGTAAATGAAAATGTATAGATCTTACTCAGAATTGTTTTTAGGGAGAATAATGTTAAAATATTGAAGAAACGAAATAAAATGAACTTTAGAACTGTGCAATAGAAATGGAAATTGCAGCGAAAAATATTTGAACGCAATGCACGAGGAAATCACAGCACAGAATTGAATGTAATGTAAAGCCTCTCCTTCTTAAATGAGAAACAGGAAGAGTCATCTGCTGATTTAGCTAATAACGGAGGGCATATTCTTGAATTTTAAGAATAAACATTTGGCGTTTTGTGCCCAAGATTAAGTTGTTGATTACTCAGCTCCCCTGCCCATAAGGACCGGTAAACGCTATGTATTTCCATAGATACGAACGCCGACCACCCTCGCGACGTACCTTCTCACGAAGGCGGCGGTTTGAGCGATGTAACGTTTTGCAACGCAGCGTTCGACGTGGCAATACCCGGACAACCAAGAACATTTGCTATCCATCCAACGTTTGGCTCTTCCATTTTGACAGGATGACGGATATTTTGTTAGATAGAGGAGTATAGGACCACAACTGCGCAATTTGCAAATTATGTCCACCCATGTAGACGAGGTGCGACATTTAAAACGATAATCAACGGAAATTTAAATATACACTCATGTTTGTGTCAATTCTGTCAACTTCTTAGGTATTTGTCATCCCATAAAAATAAAATAATTTAAAACACATGAAATTTTGTTGGTATGATAGTATACTACAAAATAACTGCCTCCGCACATGACGCGTTGATTATTTATTTAGCTTTTCAAAGGCAACCATTAGGAATGTAAACATATTCATGGAATTTAATCAGACCGAACAATTAATAAATATCATTTCTTTTAATTTTGGTCAAGGACAAAAAACGATGTTTAAAATAATGTAATAAATTAACAAGTTTACAATATCAAAATGTATAAATTATTTGTCTCGTCAGTGTGCAGTTAAACATTGAAATATGTGTCATTGTGTTCGTTCTGTATTGATATTGATATTGGTATTGATATGATGTATTTGTTTGTTTATACCCTTCTTAAGTTAATAATAATACAACCACTTTATAAGATTAATATTAGAATAAGTTAATAAAATAATATAACGTCTTAATAACAAAAGTTTCCTTTAGAAAACAATGTACGGCATTTTTCTACAAACACCTGTTGGAATACAACTTCATAAACTCGTTTGACGTGAAGCAGAAAAGTTGTAACACGCGTAACTCTTACAACTGTTTTGAAAAAATTGCGTCGAATGGATCTGTATTTTCTCGGAACGAAGTAGATTTTTACACTCTGAACTTTTCCTTAAGTTATAATATCACCCTGTCGTTACACTTCTAGCGCAACGAGATGTATTTTTCACGAGTTACTAGTATACAATTTCAGCCATAAGCAATTTCTTGTAATAAGCAGGACGTAAGTGAAAATCGATCCGGTATCTCTACTACGTGTATGCACGGTCGATACAGAATATAAATGATAAATGCATATATCATAATTCTGTTTTAATGATGACCTTTGTGCACATACTATGTCTAACTTCTTTACGCAATTACAAAGCACGGAACAGACGTACGTTCAAAAACTCAAGTTTATTTCATCTCAAAAACTCAATTATGTATTCAAAATTGTAACGGCAGAAATTATTTCAAATATATTATAATCAATTTTAAATTAAACTGATGTGTGTCAATACGAAATACGCATGAAGATCTTTACAAAAATATTTATCTCATGAGTTTTATCGACAAATACTGACAAACACGAGAAAAATATTTATCCACTTATGTATTCTGATCAAAAAAGAAAATGATTCCTTAAAAAGGTAGGGTTCTTAAAAAACAAATTATTCCTTAAATAATTTTTCTGGAACTCATTTTCCAACTTCTGTGCTTATCCTTCGGTGCTACTTCCTCAACAGCACCATTTTCATTTTCCAGAAGAATATAAAGTGTTACAGACGTAACATATCAATGGTACAACATTATTTTGGGCAAATAAAGTATAAGATCTGTCTTTCGAAGAACATTAACTCTGCAGGTAGCAAACCGATTAAAATGGGGTCGCCTCCTAGTTAGATGTGACCCGCCAAACACCGAAGTATAACGGAACGCATACTGCTCTCGTTTCCGGCTTTGCTGCACCAGGATTCCGTATTTTACTTTTACTGAAGTGGAAAGGTTTCGGAATAACACAGTAACCAATACAACAAAGGTGAAATAGCGAAATGTCTTTGAACATGCTAAGAAAGTGATTGCAGAAGGTCATCAGTTTCAGTAGAAAGTGATTTGTTCCATAATTTAACATTTTCTTCGACCTCGAACTTTTCTCTTTTTAATTCTCAAAACGATTTTATTAGTAGTAGCTTCTTTTTACAAGAGCTCCTTCATGTTATATCTGTTGTTTGTTGTCAGTCTTGTGTTGTGTTGCTCAAAGTTTTTTGTTGTTGTTAGCCTTGTTTTGAGTTGCTCAGTGTTGTTTGTTGTTAGTCATGTTGTTTTGTGTTGCTCATTGCTGTTTGTTGTTGACTGTCTTATTGTGCTGTGTGGCTGAGCGTTGTTTTTTGTCGTTAGCCTTGTTAGCGCGTAGCGTGGCGCATTCGGCAGGGGCAACGGGCACTCACCGAGTACGAATATGACGGGCACCTTGGGCACCTCGAACTTGACGTGGGCGCCGTTGTGCGCGGGCAGCTGGCCGTCGGGCGGCGTGGCCGCGAAGCGCGGGTCCTCGTGCGCCGCGCCGCCGCCCTGCAGCCACGCCTCGCGCCCGCGCCCGTCGTACCCCGGCGTGCCATGCTGCTGCTGCTGTTGCTCTGCGACACACGACACGCCGAACTTTTTTGGTTTTATTTCCGGTTGGAGCAAGTAACTCGCGATGGACGTGCATTTGCTTTGTGCACGAGTGCTTTGGAATTTGTCCATAAATCCTCGATTTCCGAAGCGAGGAGAGGATTTATCTGAGAAATCCCAAAGCACGAGTTGTATTTAATAGAACTACTCCACGAATGAAATAATTTCCAACAAAGTTCTAAAATGCACCAAATAATGAAAATAACTGAAAGCTATGTTATAATACATGCATATATACAAATCAAAGAGGCTATGTTATTATACATACGAGGTATATTGAACGTCGACATAGCGATCGATGTATACCGCCTCATACGTTAGGTGACTCACAGATTATGATTGCCCAGTAGGGAAACGCGGTAAGAAAAATAGGATGGAAAAAGCGATAAACTTTTTGAGATAGATTGCTCTGATTGAGGCATTTTCTAGGTATATTTAAACACTGTTTGTTTTAATTTTACGACTGGAATAGTCACAATAATTTATTATACAGGGAAAAGCATCAATTCTATCTGAAGCGCAAAACGAAAGTCATTTTATGTACAACACCTTGTCACCACGATCTGTTGTGTTTCACTTCTCTCCAGTTCACCATCCCCACTTCGTCCCGTCCCGCACTCTCCCGGGCCACTCCACCCCGCACCGTCCTATCCCGCACCGTCCTATACTGCACCGCTCTATCCCGCATCGCTCTATCCCGCACTGCTCTATCCCACACCGCTTTATCGCGCACCGCTCTATCCCGCACCGCTCTATCCTGCACCGCTCTATTCCGCACCGCTCTATCCTAGCGCCGCTCTATCCCGCACCTCTCTATCCCGCACCGCTCTATCCCGCGCCGCTCTAACCCGCACCGCTCTATCCCGCACCGCTCTATCCCACACCGCTTTATCCTGCACCGCTCTATTCCGCACCGCTCTATCCCGCACCGCTCTATCCCGCACCACCCTATCCCGCACCACCCTATCCCGCACCACCCTATCCCGCACCACCCTATCCCGCACCGCTCTATCCCTCACCGCTCTATCCCGCACCGCTCTATCCCGCACCGCTCTATCCCGCACCGCTCTATCCCGCCCCGTTCCTTCCCACCTCGCTTCATCGCACCTAACTCCAACCTGACCCGCTCCAACCCACATCTTTCTTCATCCGCCCAGCTCCATCACCCCATGCTCCACACCCCTCGTCCTACTCCTCTCCGTCGGAGAGAAAGGCCAAATTGAAACAAGAAAATGATTCTTTTTAACTCACTCTTAATTTTCATTACCATTTCACGAACAATTTTTCAATCAAGGAAGTTCACTCTCAAAGATAAAATAATTGTATACGGATGTGCATAGCTTCTTCCTCGGCGGTGGCCGCAAAGGTCGAGAGTAATACACTCCTGATTCGCAGGCCGAGACATCTTGGGAAAGCTTACTTTCTCCGAATAAACAAAAATTCTTTGTACTAACTTTATACATTACTAAAAATCACTTCATCGCTTATGAAATAGGAACGCACAGGTCAAACAGTTTAGTAAATACTATGAGTATTTGCTGCATAAGTACATTTTCTGTACACCACCTGTAATGAATGTCAAACTAATAAAAATATACATCCTCAAACAGTCTACTAGGATGATCATCATGATTTTGGAGACAAAAATTAGTATGTAATAGATTAGAACAAGATAAACCCAAATATTATTGCCTTCATCTATCGGATATGAGAGTTCGAGCACAAGTGATGAATTTTTTTTTTAGAAAGATTATCGAAGCACACAATGTCGTTTATTGTGTGAAAGAAATGTTGTACTAACGTGTGTTCACAATACTAAATGGAACTCTCTATTAGCATAGAGAGCAATATGAAATCAGCTGTCTGACTGCCGCCGTACGAGAAGATTATAATCCGTTTCGAGCAGCACTCGTGCAACAAGGTAGCCGTTCTGCATGCAAGAAGTTCTCTAGAATGTCACAGGAAATTGATGGAAGTTGTTGGGAATGATGCCCTTCTGTACCGGACAGTCGCGAGCGAGAGTTTTTATGAGGACGCGTAGCAACCCGCGATCAGCAACGCGTGGGACGACCTGTAAGTGTGCGCGCCGATGTGGCACGTGCGGTAATCGAGAATCTGCCTAATCGGGCCTTTAGAACGGGTGTGTAATTTGGAAAGTTGCGAACTCGTATGTGTTAAACTTCTTTGGAATATGAAATCAGTACAGTCATTTCAAATACTTTAATAAATATAAGAAACACAATTTTGGTGGGGAGGTAAATGTTCATGCACTTGTTCACACCTTGTCTTTCAATTGTATATTTCTCATTTACCACCTGTGCTCGTATTCTTACAAAACCAAGTTGCTATGACCCAACCCACATGCATAAAGATTTGAAGATGTAAGTGTCCTCTTCTTGATTAAGAACCAACCTTATAAAAACATATAAATCACGGAAATGATTGCATAATACGGATTATTGTTAAAAATTTAAATTCTTTTATTTCCCGCTTGATATTAAAAATAACATTGTTTCAAAACAAGTGCCCAAATTTAACAGCTTGGCTCTATGCTTTTAATACCTTCTTGTAAACAATAACAAACGGTGTGAGTGAGACGTGAAGCGTTATGCAACTCTTATCCTGCCTGATCTCGATCACTCTTGAATTATTACTGCTGACATTAAACGCAAGGATAAAATACAGGCTTTAGCTGTGACGTCTTTCATAGATAACTTGCGTATTCTCTATGATCTACTCTTATGCCTTTTTATGTTTTTAATGAGTAATGAATCAAATGTTCTGAGAGATACATACGAAGATTTCCTTAGCTCTTTTTCAATTTTGGATAATTTATGTTCTTGTATGCGGTTTTGAATTATTCTTTTGGAAGCTGATCAAATGCCACCCAAAGTCCGTTACTATAGAAAACCTGCGTGTTAACAGCCATGAATTTGAAGTTGATCTCACGATCCAATTTTTCTTTCAACTTACTGATAAATTGTATGAGAGTAGGTAAAAATAATTTTTTACTAAGGTTCATACGAGTAAAAAAGAAGATTTTAAAATTTTTAATGACAATTTTTTGTACACCAAAAGAACAATTATGTACTTAAGAGATAAATATTTATTTCCTGAATGACGCCAATAAAATGTCAAGTCCCTACAACTGCAATACGCAAGTGCATATAAAGATTGTGTAAGCAAGTTTGTGTTTTGAGATAACAAATAACTGAATTCCTTTGCATTGAAAGGAAAATCATAAATTTACATCATATGGTGAGACATTATTTCATCATGCCGTGAGACATTATCGAACACTGAATTCAACGAACAAGACAGATTTATAAGCGCACTTAAATAATGAAATACGAAAATGTCAGACAGAATCTACGATTGCACTGAATTATGTTCAGAGTCGCTTGTACTTAGTCATCATGTGTAGTTGACAATTCGTTAAAAAATGTAGCGGTTGTGCCGTCAAAATTCAACATTTTTGGCCATGCTTTAAAAACGTAGTACCTGTTTTCTTTGTAAAAGATTGGTACCTATAAATTTGTTTACATGGGAAGAGTTTTGCGATAGAACATGATCGCCTTGTGATGTTACTTGGTGGAAATTCTCACGCGATATTCCCATGAAGTCAATTTAGTATTCAGACAAAAGGAATGGAGAGGTCGGTCTTGACGTTGTGAATGCGGTCTGTTGCAGAAATGTAGCTAACAAGCTATCAAATGTAGATTAAAAAAGAAAATATTAACAAGTGTAATTAAATATCAAAGACATTTCGATCAAATTAATAAAAAGGTTACTCTGATTGAGCGTAAAAACATTTTTTGTCTATTCGTTACTGAGGTGAGGTTTTAAAAGGATAATTTTCCTTGCAATTATATACTCTTTTTAACATAATAGTATTTTCATACATTCAAATTTAATTCTATTTCCTATCATAATAATCAAGTAATATTCTTACAATATTTTAGGCACCTCTAATTAAGTTAAATTAATATTATGCGTCAATTAATAGATTTTAGTAATTAAATGTGCATTCTTATACTGCCGATTCTTCTTAAATTGTTTTTTAATTATCAAGATCACGAAATTTACAACACAGAGCGTAACACTTTTTCTCAAGTGTCTTTGAATCAAGGACCCCCTTTTTTTATAAATGCCCATAATTTTCATCAATTGATAGACAAGGCGATCGTAATCTAGAGAGCAAAATAAAAGCAGTAAATGTGAAATTCTGGAGGATATATCAAACTTCCATAATAAACAGAACGTGAGTCGAAAATATTCGGGTACAAATAGTGTAAAAACCTCTAAACATTCAGCTGCAAGAAAGTATGAAACGGTCACGAACTTCAAGTATGATGAGTCAAAAAAATAAGATTTTTTTTTCAAGAGAATACGTCGACGAATATCAAAGATAAAAATGTATGATAAACTACACGTGTATATGATGATGATGATGATGAAGAAGAAGAAGAAGAAGAAGAAGAAGAAGAAATAATGTACTTTGTAAAGACAAAACAATGAAGAAGAGAATGCGAAAACGACCTGGAGCAGGGCACAACTCGCCCTAAACTAAAGTGAAGATGCAAAGGTTAGGACATTCCATTATCTCCGGTTTTCCTCACGCCCTCCCGCCTCTTTAGGGGCTCGCTAATGACCAGATAGATGCTCGTAGTCCAGGCTTTGAAGTATTGCACAACTTATTCTAAACGAAAGTGAGAATTCAAAAGTCAGGTCGTCCCTTTATCCCCGTATCCTCTCACAGTCTCCCTCCAACCACACTAGCGGAGTTAGCTCACTTATGTCTACGCTAACAGGCCGGACATTGAAGAAGTTCATAAGTCGCCCTAAACTAAAATGATAATTCAAAAGTCAGGCCATCCCTTTATCCTCGTGTCCCCTCATAATCTCCCTTCAACCACATCCTCGGTATTTGTTCATTTGTGTCCTTGCAAATGTCCATACTCCTGTCATGGTAGAAACACGCCTGGATATAGGTGTTGTGGTAAGATATCTTTGGCATTTTTAAAATAATTAAAGATGTTGTCATTGCCAACAATATTTTTTATGCAACACGCCTGAAACTCAAATGAGGATTGACCCCTCCCCCCATCCTCACGTGTGCGCTCACCTGCCTCCACGCAAATGCTCATAGCGCGTGCTTTGAAATAATACATAACTCGGCTAAACTAAAGTAATGACTGAAAATTCTCGCATCCTCGCCTGTACGCTCACCTGTGACCAGGCAAATGTCCATAGACCTAGCATTGTAGAAACACGCGTGAAACGTAAGTGGGGATTGAATGTTCTCGCTTGTGCGCTCACCTGTGTCCAGGCAAATGCCTTTGAAGCAATGCACAGCACGCTTATAACAAAAGTGGAGCTCACCTATGATCAGGCAAATGCGCATAGTCCAAGCATCGTAGAAACACGCGTGTAACTTAAGTGGGGATTGAATATCATCGTATGTGTCTAGGCAAATGCCTTTGAAGCAATGCACAACTCGCCCTAAACTTAAGTGGGGGCTCACCTGTGTCTAGGCAAATGCCCATACTCCTGTCATTGTAGAAACACTCCTTTGATGATACTCAATGGGAGGGATTGCCCCCCCCATCCTCACGTGTGACGCTCATTGCAGTATCCACGAAAATGCCCATAGCGCGAAGCCTTTGATGCATATGCATCAACTCAGCC